TTATACTGTGGCAGTATAGCAAAGTTCTCGAGTATCTAAAAATTTTCTGCTCTTCCACTTGGTGCATATCTGTGCTATGCATTCTGACATCCAAATTATGAAATTTACGTTCTGTACGTGAGAAAAGTTGATGTAAATATCATGCAGACATAATTTATGTCAATGTAATTTTGAATTTCGCAGGACAATCCTGAAAAATAAGCGTAGCATGAACACGCACAAAGTGGTGACTTTACCGGCAGTGTCAGAAGATGCGTAGCAACATATAGTTCCAAAAGTACAAAATGGACGTGAAGGCGCGCAAAACAGTCTCTTGAAACGGCATCAAGTAGACCGCTCTCAGGTTTCTACAACCTATGCTTTCGGTTTGCGCGCGAAGACGCGGTAAACGTTATTTATAACCGCAATATTCGTACCGTGAGGGAGAAGAGCGTTTGAAACGAGACGGACTTCGATAAGGCAGTGTCTACGAAACTTAATTAAAAAATGGCGAATAAAGTGGCAAGGGACTACGCCAAAGACAAGGGTGAGGTTTTTCACGCTCCCGCAAGACTCGACGTTGAATAGTAACTGTTTACATAACCGGCTTGGTTACTTCACGCGTAGGTCGGCAATGCTAATCTGTTAAAAAGTTTGAATTTACACGAACATTTACGTTGTAGAACAATTGAAGACCTTCTTCCTGGAATTCGTGGCGATGGACGACAAGACGGGGGATAAGACCTTCAAGTACAGACAGATGCTCACCAAGATTGCGCACAGAGAGCTAGTTAGCTTCGAGATCGATTTGGACGACGTGCATTCGTTCGACGATGAACTGGCCATGTCTATCTCTAATAATACGCGACGATATACCACCTTGATCCTGAATGTATGTTTATACAAGAATTATTGCACATACATTCACGTGGACACCTAATCGCACAAATTTAAATGCTACCGAGTCGTCAAATGTGTAAGTTTGTTTCACTGCTGCTTGCGGAGATTAATTGAATGTCTACTGTTTTATACAGTTGGTTCAAGACATGCTACCTGACTTCAAAGAAGGAGTTGTTCTACCGAAGGATCCACTGGATGTGTACACGGAGCATCGATTGTTGCTGGAAGCGCGTAATAGGACTCAGGGTGGGCCACAAAATACCGTCAAAACTAACTATGCTCCTGAGTTGATGCGTCGTTTGTAAGAGGACTTCATTTACGTTCGGATATTCGTTGCATAGAAGTATTTTAGGCTCACAGAAGTATGTGTCTTTTAGCGAAGTCTACTTTAAAGATTTCTCTGACGCCAAGGCGTATTCAGTGAGAGATATCAAGGCGGATAAGATTGGGAAGTTGGTGACAGTTAGAGGTATCGTCACTAAAGCAACTGAAGTAAAGCCGATGATAGTCGTGGCGACGTACACGTGCGACGAGTGCGGTTCGGAAGTGAGCCAGCCGGTAAAAAAGAAAAAGCTGACGTTTCGCTAATTTATCCAGTTACACTTAATAATTTCCGCGATACTTGGAGCAAGAGACTTTCTTACCTACGTTACGTAATTAATTATCGCAGGTGAATTCCATGAGCTTCATGCCAATACGAGCGTGTCCGAGCGACGGATGTCGCGTAAATAAATCCGGCGGCAGGTTGTACCTGCAGACGAAGGGCTCCAAGTTCATCAAATTTCAAGAAATCAAGCTGCAAGAGCACGTAAGTTTGCAAATACTTAAGTAGTCTTCCTTAAACTGTTAACGTTCGCATTTTACAGAGCGAGCAGGTCCCGGTTGGTCACATACCGCGATCGTTGACCATCTTCTGTCGCGGCGAGACAACGAGAACGTGTCTGCCTGGGGATCACGTTATTATAACCGGTGTGTTTCTACCTTTCCTGAAAACCGGTTTTAATGCTAGAGCAGGACCTGCGCTCTCCAGTGAAACTTACTTGGACGCAAATGTACGAATAATTGTGTCGAGACTCTACGATTGTGAAATTATCATTTATTTACGCAAGGCCTATTTCCCCGTTTGATTTCAGAAAGTGGTATGCCTGAATAACGCGGACACCGTGGACGACAGCAGTGCAGAATTGACCGATCAAGAACTCAGTTTGCTGATGCAAGATGATTTTTATAACAAGTTGGCCTGCTCCCTGGCTCCTGAAATTTACGGACTCGAAGATGTAAAGAAGGCGTTGCTTCTGCTTCTCGTTGGGGGAACGGACAAGAAGAAAGGCGACATTAAGATTCGAGGTGACGATATTCCTGATTCAGGAATTTCACAACTATGCCTTCATTTTGGTATCCTTAAAATACCGACGGCCATATCGAGATCAACTTGGGGCGATATTTGCTTTCAGGCAATATCAACATTTGTTTGATGGGAGATCCCGGTGTGGCAAAGTCGCAATTATTATCCTACATTACGCGATTGGCACCGAGATCGCAGTACACCACGGGGCGAGGATCGTCCGGCGTGGGCTTGACCGCCGCTATCATGAAGGATCCTTTAACGGGCCAAATGGTGCTGGAAGGTGGAGCTTTGGTACTGGCGGATCAAGGGGTGTGTTGCATCGACGAGTTCGATAAGATGGCAGACGCGGACAGAACGGCGATCCACGAGGTGATGGAGCAGCAGACCATATCTATCGCCAAGGCCGGTATAATGGCCCGTCTAAACGCCAGAGTCTCTATATTAGCCGCCGCCAATCCGGCGTACGGCAGATACAATCCGCAGAGAACGGTCGAGCAAAATATTCAATTGCCCGCCGCGTTGCTGTCGCGATTTGACTTGTTGTGGCTCATTCAGGATCGCGCCGATCGGAGTAACGATCTCAAGTAAGTATTTTGTAATACCGAGAGTAATATTTGCGTATCATCGAGCCACTTCTTTGGCCGCACACTTTCAGTCTTACATCTGATTAAAAGTAATCGTTTTTAATTTCATATTTTACGATACCTGTTTGCTGACCAGTTCTCTCTCGTAGACTCGCGCAGCACATCACGTATGTTCATCAACATTGCTCGCAACCTCCGACAGAGACGGAAGCTATAGACATGAAATTGATACGGAAATATATAAAGCTGTGTAAAACGAAAGAACCTGTTGTATCAGAAGAATTGACAGAATATATTGTGGGTACGTGTGCACAAAATTCGCGTTATAGTTTTAATATATTCGATGCCGTTAGTAAACGGTAATGCAATGACGCTCCTGCGTAGGGCGCAAAATTTGGGCGGGCGCCTGAGGTCCGGTTTCACCAACGTTGTTTAACTTTGAGCTTAGCTGAATTCGTTCTTCGTCTCTTTTCAGTTGTTGCTTTAGGAGACAACCATGAATTAAACTAAGATTAAAGTTAAGCGACGTTTGATGAAACCGGGCCTAAGCATGTTGTAACGTCACAGAATATATTATATTTTAATGCACATTTATAAAATATGAAGTATTATTGTTATATCGCGTATCAAACTAAATTAATTTGGCAAAAGTATACAATTATATCTTGAAATACGTCGTTTTTCAGACTCTTACGTGGAGATGCGGAGAGAAGCGCGTAACAGCCACGACAAGACGTTCACTTCTGCTCGTAATCTATTGGCTATCCTCCGGTTGTCGACGGCATTGGCGCGATTGCGATTATCGAACGTGGTTGATAAGGACGACATAGCGGAAGCAAACAGACTGGTAGAGATGTCCAAACATTCCATCAATTACTCCGAACAACGCGTCAACAACGCACAACAGAATCCGATTAACAGGATCTTCCAATTAATACGCGAGCTCGCTGGCGACAAGAAGACTGTCAAAGTGTCGGATATCTTGGAGCGATGCACGAGCAAAGGATTCAAGCCGGATCCAGTGTACAAGTGCATCGAGGAATACGAAGCATTGAACGTGTGGCAGGTCAATCAGACCAGAAGATTGATCACTTTTATTTAATTTTCAGCTGGAAGACAATATCTGCTATAAAAACTAATATTTTCTTTACACCCTGATACGGCATTCTGTATTTTTACAATAAGAGATTAATATTCATTTTACATTTCATTGAAAACACTTAAAATTTTGTCCCACCTGTTCCCAAACATTCGGTACGCTTGTTATCCGCAGAGAGAAAACTGTCACTGGTTCGGACCAAGATTAAAAACCTGGAGCTCAGACGTGCCATTGATAATCGCGATTACAACGGAGTCAGCCGCGGATCGTCAATTGTGAATCGTACGACGCGAGGCAGTGCCCGGCTCCGATTGGCGCAGACTTTCCCGCAATCCCGGATAGCACAAGACACTTGTATGAAGATTTTAACTTTCAATAATCTCACCAATTATTCATTAAAACGTCACTTAGGTATATCTAACATATTGATGTCGATGCCCAATTTCTTCAGGATCGGTTCGAAGTACATGTGTAGTCTGGCCAGCACTTCCATGGAGTGTATCTTCTGTTCGTCCAACGCGCGTTCGAACGCGATGCCCTCACGCTGATTAGAGGACCCCACGTCGCATATCCTACACGCGCCACGTCTGGTTTTATCGAGAGCGGCGAGCACGTGCGCGGGATGTTCCCGCGTGGGTGTTGCGGCGACGGCCAGACCCTTGAGCCTTCCCAGCGGGAAAGCGGCCTCAAAGCCGTCTTTGAAACCGATGTCGAATCCCTCTTGCAGCACCGAGTCACCTCCGTCCTGGATCCCTTCTCTGTAGCCGATCTAAAAATACCATTGTCAAACGCGGCGCGTAATCGCGACGTGAACGTCGCGTCGGGGATTCCCAGCCCCGATAGGAAAACATTTAGCAATCAGTGTGACTAATTCTGGATGAAGCTCGGCGTGCTGGAATTATACGTACATATTTCGAGCGACGTATGTATGCAGAAATGGAGACCTTTCAGTGTATCAGCAAGACAGCTGCGTTTTGATGAATCATCCTATTGCGATTATTGTGAAATTTCCACCTTTCGGACGATGCAATTGTTACACGATACTTGAGACATTTTCCTATCGGGGAAGCGATACAGAATCCGGGGAATTCTCTCGCGCACCTTGGCGGCGGTGTCCATAACGCGCTCCCAGGATTTCGAGGCGACCTCCAGGGAATCGTCGGTCGCTGCGCTCTGCAGCTCGTGCGCCGTCGTCTGCGTCGCATCTTCCATCATGCAATCGTCCAGCTTGATTTTCTGCCTGAAACAATTTTATGACGGCCTGTTGCAACCCAGAGAACATGCATGTCTAAAGGGCATCTTTAAGGATATAAGACAGACTTATGCCCGATTTCTTCACATCCAGTTATGTTACGGTTAAATTTAAACGGGAGATAACTACCAGATCCATGCACGTGATTGGCCAAAACTTGAAATTAACCTCCGGATAATTTTATCGGGAAGTGAAAAAATCGGCCATTAATGGCTTCTGCCCACTGGACGCGGCAACGTTACCGCGTCCAGTGGGCGGGAGCCATAAGACATTGAGCTAGTTTACACCGATCGTTTGGTACGCGTACCAAATACTATATCGGTATCAAATCGCTTGATTCGCTCGATGTAAACACTCGCGGATTACTTTAGCACAGTATAACCAGTATGCCCACTCGCTCTTTTGTTTCACGTTCGCGCCGATCCGTACTGCGCATCCGACATGTTTTTA